ATCTTTGACAAATACTATTGTCGATCAACTTCATTTTAAATAATTCCTTTTTGTTGTATATAATGCGATGCAAAAATCTATATTGGAAATCTTGTAGCTTGATATCTCTACTGCATTGTTTAGGAAGACGAAATATTTCCTTCCAGTTTGTTGTCATTTACTACAGATAATAGGGAGATAATTATTTTGCACAAGTATATCATATATCTTCCGAGATCCCTTTGATGGTTTAGTCCATTCCATAAAAAAGTTATTTATCCTAAGATCGTAGACACATATAGGTTTAGAATTGTCTGTCACCCTTATCCATTCTTTAGGGAGGTTACTAACAACTCAATGATGGTCCAAATAAGTACCCTTGAGGTTGAATTTTTTTTTCAAGTCTACAAAGGATAAGAGCCCATTCTCGTCACATAGGTCTCTTATATAATGCACTCCTTTACAGAACCAGTTTTCTATAATAAAATATGAGTCTGTACACTGGTGGTTAAACCATATCGGTTCAGCTAGAATAGCCTTAATATCTCTTGCATCTGTCAAATGAGACCTATAGTATTTACTCCAAATATATATCAAATCCTGCCAGTAGGGGTTATCAATTTTACAAAGTCTCTAAGACGGTACATGGGCACCCAGTTGAAAAAGGAGTTTTAAAGGGAAGTAGTTATTATATAGGTTCTTAAACATGCTTTTGTTTTTAGGATACTGAGCTTTAGCGATGATATAAACACATATGTATCTACCATTCTCAGTCCACCATTCTCATAGCTTCTTGTCAAATTCACCCGTTTAATTTTATCAGGTTTGGAGTTCCAAATAAACTTTTTAAAAATTGAACTTAGTTCATCAACAAATTCTTTTGGTGGCTGAGGCAAAGCAGAGAATATGTGAACAAGAGTAGATAATGCTAACGTTTTTATCACAGTTATTTTTCCAATTAATGTCAATTTACGTTTACACCAATTTGCTAATAATCTCTTAATGTTTTCTAGTCTTTTTCTGGTGTTGATAACCCATAGTTTTTCTAAATTTGCGTTTAGTTGAATACCAAGAACTTCAAAGTCACCATGAACCCAATCTAGATTAACATCTTTGCACACTTTAATATTCTTTCCAATCACTGACCCAAGCCATATTGCCTTAGTTTTACCTGAATTCATTCTTAATCCTGAATAATAGTAAAAACTTTCCAAAGTGTTCAGTGCAGCTCTTAGGCTTTCTTCTGAGCCATCCAAAAAAAGCTGTGTATCGTCAGCATACTGCCCTAATTTATGCTCTATGTTTATTAAATAAATGCCTTTAATCGTATCATTGTCTCTAATCATAGTGGCCAGTATTTCGGCTACAAAAAGAAATAAATAAGGGGAGATTGGGTCCCCCTGTCTGCAGCCTCTACCAGATGATTGTCAAAAAATGAAGAGAGATGGCCATTTTGTATGACACAAGATGTTGCATTGCTTATCAAAATGTGTACCCACTTTATCATCTGACCTCAGGACCAAAGCCAAACCTTTCCAAAACTTTAAGGAAAAGCTATTTTTGACACAGAATCGAAGGCTTTTTCAAAGTCTATAGAAAGTAGCATACCTTTCTTATTCTTAGATTTTGTTTCCAGGATAATGTCGTACAATAATCTTATATTATCTGCTAAATATCTCCTTGGAATGAATCCTGTTTGATTTTCGTGTATCAAAAGATCCAAAACAGTCTTCATTCTCTTAGTGATATATGTGTTAATTATATTAAATCTTGTACAGACAATTTAAAAGGGTGATTGGTCGCCAGTTTTTAAGATAGGACCTATCCTTGTTTCCTTTAGGCAGGCATGTTATAATTCCTCTGTTAATGTTCAAACTCAAACAGCCGTTATAAACTGATTCACTGATATATCTGTGCACCCAAACCTTTAGTTCTTTCCAAAAAACTTTAAAAATTCTATTGGAAAGCCGTCTACCCCAGGGCTTTTGTTATTTTTCATTCCTTTTACTGCTTTGAAATCTCATCCAATGTAATTTCTTTTTCCAAATTGTCTCTGTTGTTTATCTAAAGAAGGAACTGGAACTTTTGAGAGGAAATCCTGAAATCACTTTGGGAGTACAGATTTTTATAAAAGTGTTTTTGTTCTTCTAGGATTTTTTCACCATCTAATATTATTTCTCCTTTATCATCTATTAATTGATTAAGCAACTTGCTTGTGTAATTTCGGTTTTCCAAATGACAGAAGTATTTTGTCGGCTTTTCACCTTCCTCATACCATTTTATTCTGTTCCTTATTTGAATCCCTCTAGTTACTTCTCCCCTTAACTTTTCAATTTCTTCTTGAAGTTTTGTAAGTTCATTTAGTTTTTCTTCCTTTATGTTTTGAAAGTTTCCCCTGATTTCGTTTTCAACTTCGCATATTCTATCTTCCAACTGTTCAGTTTTATGGCACCGTTTTTTCTTCAGAAAAGAGGACATAGATATGGATTCACCTCTAACTTTCATAGGAAATGTGTCACTAATGGTTAATTCAAGTTTCTTGTCACTAATATCTTGTATTTCTTGATATATGTTTCTATTGAAATATTCTTGTTTCATATCTTTCAAAATTGTATTGACTTTTTCAACATAATCTTTATTGTGTAATAAAGAGGTATTAAATTTCCAATAACCCTCACCTTTTTCTTTAGACAACGTATTTGATATTGATGTTATAACTACTGAATGGTCTGATTTGTATCCTGGGAGAATATTGCATTCTATTGTAAGATTTGCCATGTCTTGTGATAGTAAAAAGAAATCTAGCCTAGCCTGCTGTCTAGGATTTTTTTTCCACCATGTAAAACATTTAGAGCCTTGGTTATATTGTCTCCAAATATCCAACAAATCGTAATTTTCTATCATATCTAAGACCGCTTGCCTGGCTTTAGGATTGTTAACATGCCGATAATTCTCTAGATCTATTGAAGGGATAAAATACATTATAGAACTCGATAAACAAATAACAGATTTAACAATACACAGTGTCTTGTCATAAAGGCATTAGATATTGTGTAAAGGTGAGGTGAAATTGGGTTTAACTTCGCGCTTGAGAATATTTCGGCTCATATGATGACGTGCATGTATGTGTATGTGCGGCTGCTTGTACTAGCCCAGACTCAAGCTGGTTTTATAGTGCTAGCCCACTGAGATACCATGCCGCAGTGAAGCATGAATACCCCACTCAGACACATTATTCTGACTCCGAGCCGACCAGTCCTTGTTGTACCCATTAATGCCGAGCGCCAGGCAGGGACCAACAAGTACCATATTTTAACGTCTTTTGGTATGACGCGGTCGGGGATCTACCCCCGCGACCTTCCGCTCTCCTGGCGGACGTTCTAACCACTACACCACGGAGGCAGTCGATATTGTGTAAAGTATTGTCCTCATTTCCATACAAGAACAGTAAGGACACAATGAATTAATCATTACATTTTCATGCAAATGTGGGGCATTGCATGCTTCAGATTGTAAACAAACTGAGGCCCAATTCATAAAAGCTTATATGCAACGCAAAACACAACTTTGCAGATTCTGATACCTTTCGGTATGGACTTAAGTAACAAATTATCAAAAATGCACATTCAACTTATAAAGTTGAAAATAACATGAGGAAAAAAAATTAGCATGTACTTACAAAACCAAACATCTCTATACACACACAAAGAGCCCTGAGTGTATCGGAAAATGAACCAGCCAATGAAAGACTTCCTTACACTTAAGTGTACGCCCACCCGCTCTGGCTGGATTCGGTATCCTGGGTGCTTCGTTTCGAGGGTAGTAAACCCAAGTACATAATATTACACTTTTGATTTGTGATTGTACGCTTATAATTTTGTTTATTTGTTTTTTCATAATCAGCAATGTATATTATATGTCATGAATAAATGAGGTGAGGTGAGGTGAAATTGGGTTTAACGTTGTGCTTGAGAATATTTCGCAGAGACATGTTTTTTTAGATATACTAATCATGTTGGGTACACCTCAGTAGCATCACATTAATATGAAAGAAACAGTGGTTCTTAACTTTTGTTGAGTACTATATAAAACATACACAGCCATATCATCTGGTGGTGTTTTCATCATAAATAATAACTGAATCTTTATGCCAAATTTAAACCATTTCCCAAGTTTATCTCTGCTGTCAGTGCAAACCTAAACAAATCCTGTTTCAAACAAACTGATAACCTCACTTGCAACATTCATGTAATTTTCCAGAAGTATTAAACTTATAAATGCAATCAAGTGGGGGAGGTGTATCCAGTGTACAAGAGTACATCCAGTTCATTGTGTATTGTAGGGATTCACATGGTTGGTTGGTTGGTTGTTTAACGCCACACTCAGTAATATTCCAGCTATATGGCAGCATGTAAATAATTGAGTCTAGACAATCCATTGTCGAGTGATCAACAACATGAGTATCGATCTACGCAATTAGGACACAATGACATACTAGTATGTGTCAACCAAGTCAGCGAACCTGACCACCTGATCCTGCACGTTGACTTTTATGACATAGCATGGATTGCTGAAGACCAATTCTAACCCGGATCTTCGTGGGTCGGCGGCTCCAAATCTAGTTCCTCAGACCGCCATAAAGCTGGAATATTGCTGAGCGTGGCGTAAAACTAAACTCACTCACTAAAACTAGTTCCTCAGAGTCTTTTTTCAGCTCTCACACACGCTTCATCTTCCTTTCTCTCTCTCCCTCTGTTATCAGTATATCCGTACCTCTCGACTAAAACTAGGGCAGTACCTGTCCTGATTGAGCTCCTTACACAAACTTGATGAGGATTAGTTTAATACTTCAAACCAAAACAGTAGCCCTTGTGTCTTGAAGGAATCTCCATATTACCTAAGTATTTAGGGAAAGACTGGCCTTGACAGACATGTTTACAACAAGAACTCATGGTGTAGTTGTGCCCCTTATTACGCATATTAAGCTTTATGTACCATGTCATGACTAATGTGATACAAACCTTTTTGCATTTGTCCTTGGTCGAGTTGCTTCATCCAGTCGATTGTTACTGCCCCTAGAAACAGAAATAAGAGATGATGTCAAGATGGAACTACCTTTTTCAGTAGAGAGTTAGTGATGCGGCTTTGAACGAGGGTGCCCATCCCTCCCCTCAAGGCATCCTAGTCCTAATACATTGATTGGTCATTCATACAAACAAGTTTGTTTTGTTGTTTAATGCAGTCTGCAGATAATTGAGTCTGCACCAGACTATCCAGTAATCGATTGACATCATGAGCACTGATCGATGACAAGCATCAACCAAGTCAGCGAGTCTGATCACTTGATGTTGTTCATCTCCTTTATTAAAGGTTTCAGTGAGTGAGTGAGTTTACACCGCTTTTAGCAATATTTCAGAAACATCACAGCTGGGAAAGGAGGTTTTAGGAACTGGTTCTATATTGAAAGAGAGTGAGGTCATGAAACAATATTAAATGAATTGGGAGTTCAACATAACATGATCAACCAAACTCATTCCTAATCCAAATCCACCCCTAATAATATAGCTTACAATTTTAAGAAATCAATTGCTGTAATAACATGTTCTGAGGATAATGGTAAAAGTTATATATTTTTCAAAATTAATGTGAAGTAAACATTGTCACACAAAAACTGAAATACACACGTAACATGGGCGGATTATAATTTGCTACTGTCAATCGTTAAGCCCATGGTTTTTCACGCCTGTGCTAACATTGTGCTTATTGCCCTGCCTTTAACATTCAACACATCAGCAGTTACCTCCCCTGCAATAGTCCAGTTTTTCACTCACAGTACACGCTAAAGTGACGATTTCACTAAATTGCTGCCAAAACAATGGTTTCAAAACATACATGGCCATTACAGTACTTACCGGACATTGTGGAGATAAATGTCAGCCTCGACAATTGAAATAATGAAAATGATTCCACTCAAAATATGAAGTAACGGTAACATTTTGCCGTTCAGTTTCATTCCCACTCCCAGTGAGCAGTGTTGTTTATCCGGATCTGTTCCTATTACGTACATGTGAGATCACCTGGCACGTGATTTTACAAGTCATTTGCATATTTACTTACGCGTATTACAAAGTAGTACCACATATCCCAACACTTAAACACCCCAATTAAGATCTTATATGATTATACGGTCATCTTTTGTGATCGCAAAATACAACAAACGTTGTAGGAAATGTTGTAGACATGATGTCATTGCATATGTTGATATATATTTAAATTAGATGTAGTGATATATATTCGACTGCAATTCTGTGAGAGTTACCCGCCCCTGGTGTAAATAGTGAACAGACGGAAATCTACATCGATTAATAGGTAAGGTCTTTTACCGAAATACTCCCGACACTTATACCAAGTAAACGAAATATCTTTATGAATTGTAACTGTACATGGCGATAAAAGTAATGATAAATATGTTATTCAATCATTTTACTATATATTCATTGACAAGTGCCATAAGTTTTATGTAGGACAGCATGAGCCAGTTGTAGTATAGTAGACAGCATGTATGTACCGTCATGATCGTGGTATAACTGTTGTATACGCTACTATGTATGGATATGACATCATATGTATCATGTTCGTTAATCAAACAATGAATTGTTTCAAACCAACTGTATCAGCTCTAAATCTACTTCTCATGTTGTCTCAGTTAGGCAAATTTCAACCAAAAAAAAAACCTCAATTTTTTTTTTTTAAATAACCTAAACAAAATTGTTTAGAATTGGTGATTTTCCAGACTTTTTTGCAGGGTAGTCTGTGTTGTTGTTGTTGTTAATTATCTAATACATTACAAGTCTCTAAAATTATATTCTGGCTGTGGAAATTATTTAAATAGATATTCAAATATCGAATCGAAATAGTGATAATGCTATCGAAAATCGAAACTAAGGTGTCACATTCGATTTTCGAACCGAATAGTCGCAGCCCTAGATATAAGAAACAAGAAATGTAATTCAAGAAGTCTAAGACAAACTGTGGTAAACGTTTTTTGAGTATTTCTTGAAATGTTGGATCAAAAGTTCTTGATTCCTGCATTATGTAATTCCTGATTTAACAATTAATTTAGTTAAAAAACGTTCTAGTTCTGAATGGATGGGGTGTTATTTGATTCACTCTATTGTGTCATTTTTTCTCCAGGAAATGATGAGACTCTACCTTATCCTGGTTTTCGTAAGCCAGACATGTGGGGACATCTACCTCCACAACATGAGGGGCTCCAACAACAGACTCGGGGAAAAGTCTGCCACAAGAACAAATGACAAACGAATGTTTGATTCCCAGGTAAGCAGAAAGGTTCTGAATCTCTGAGCTCACTGGGGCTCCTTTTCAGTTAAGGGGTGGTGGGTTAGCCTAGTGGTGAAAACATTCTGTTATCACGCTGAAGCTCATGTCTGGTGTTCCCTGACATGATATTGCTGGAATATTGCAGCATACAACAATACTCACTCACTCACTTTTCAGATTAAGTGGAGTTATTTGTTTGTATAAGAATTATATATATTCAGAGATGATGCATACCTCTCTCAGTGTCAGGGCCCAACATTCACGCTATCCCACTGGCCCGGGTCTAGTAAAATGTTGACAGGACCAGTGCAACTTTGATAAGTGCTATCCCGATGGTCTAGTAAATATTTAAGGCTGTCAATAAGAGTCCCTTAGCAGGACCAGTAAGAATCTGTAAGGAACAGTGATTTTTAAAAGTTACGGGTCTGTTGTCTTGTTCGTGAATTTGGGTGAATGTCAAGCCCTGAGTGTATGTCGTATACTGCACATGTACATATCTCAGTACTCTCTCTACACAGACACCTCACCGACTCCATCCTGAGTCATTGTTTGTTACAACTTACACCCCAAGTTCTCCAGGATTCAGTGCTTGTTGTAAGGGTGGTCAGGTTTGGTGACTTTATTAGTTGTGTGTCATCATACCCTGCCAGTATGGGATTTACAACCACTGGTTTATCATGTTCAAACTTGTATATTTAGGGACCGTTCATAATTTATGGCTGGGGGGGTGATGATGATTTTAAGGAAGGGAGGGGGGGGATGGGAGGTGTTCACCCTAGCCATAAATTATGAACAGTCCTTTACCTCCGATGCCAGGATGCCATCATATGCTAGGAGTGTTGCTAACTATGGGGTTAAATAACAAACACACCTACAGTGACCTAGTGAAACCGATGTAATTGTAATATAAAAGTTCTATGATTTTATCAATTTGAATGCATACATGGAATGAACAATTGTTGGACACCTCTAGTGTGCAATATTGTTGAAATGCACATCTGTTACCAACTGGGGCCTTGGATGGCCCTGTCATCTAAGACCCAGGAAACTGCTGCACAACTGAGTGGAACCAGGATCCACCGATTGTCAGTTTGAATCCCATTCACTGATAATGAAAGTTGGCTTGTCTGCACCATATCCAGGATTGTATGTTTCACCAACAGGGATGGATCCAGTAGGGCTGCAACGATTCGGTTCGATTCATCGGAAATCGAATCTCACACCTTAGTTTCGAATTTTGACCATTGTCACTATTTCGATTCGATATTTGAATACCTATTTAAATTATTTCCACACAGCCAGAACGTAATTTTGACTCCAACTCAAGCCGTTTCAAGCGCTCAGAAACCTGATTGGCTGACGCTGGGATAATTATCTACTGCGAATTGTTGTTAGTAGACATAGCCAAGTTGACGATGGATTTCACGCTAAAAAAGCCAATTCTGAAGTTTTTACTTGTATGAAGTATCAAATAAAAAATGATTGAATCGAGGGTCCAATATTGAAAATTGAATGGAATCGAGGTCTGGGTGAATCGTTGCAGCGCTAGTACCCAGGCCTGCTCAGAGGCCAATATTGGGTCCACAATGTTCTGAATCTGGTTACTCTCCAACCAGTATGCCCAAAATAACATTTGATCTCAAACTGTTTGTTTAGGGCAAATAGTTTGGACTCCTGAATAAATCTCTGACCCAAATGTGGCAAACATATACTTTCTGCATCACACCCTCCCCCAATTGACTCTAGGTGGACAATCTTGAATAAAACTGTACAGGGCTCCAGATAAGGGCCGTATTGGCTTAAAAAATATACATGATACGGTAGGAAATAATTTAGAAAATGTAGCACATACGCACCACAGCAATGGTTTACAGTCTTAGAATCATTTACAGACATATTTATTTGAAAAAAAGTACTGTTTTATTGTTCACTGACCTGTTTACACAAGAAGCAATGTTGTGGTGCATATATGAAATGAAACACAAGATTACTGATACCCCATTAAATTCCATTCAGCACTCTAATTTAGTCTAAATGTACTCTTTAGGTTTTCCAGTACTCTTATATTGAACAAATAACGAGTATGTACTCTTGATGTTGAAAAATTATCTGGAGCCCTGACTGTACAAGAAATAAAAAAGGCTGTGGTAAAATATGAAAACATATCATTAATGTCCAATTTATTTTCTCTTAGTTAAACAAAAAGCAGGGTTTTACGTGATGCAGAAGTGTGCGTCCAGACTGCATCCGTATGTATAGAATGGACACAGAAACTTCATAATATGTATTAATATGCCAGGGAATAGTGGGCACTGGCTTACTGTGTTTGTATGTATTGTAGAAAGGTAATACTTGTAAGACTGAAAACATGGTAAAGGAGTGAAGAAAGACAGTCATGGCCTGTCCAAAACATGCGTGTGTTCCTTATCATGCTTAGGAGAACAGCAGTATCAGATGGACATCATGTTTCAGTTAAGTTTCAAGGGGAAGTGGGGTAGCCTTGTGGTTAAAGTGTTCACTTGTCACGCTGAGCACCTAGGTTCAATTACCCATACTGGTACCCTGTGTGAAGCCCATTTCTGGTGTCGCCCATCATGATATTGTTGGAATATTGTTGAAAGGGGAGTAAAACCAATCACTTACTCTCTCCGACTTCAATGCTCTTCTGAATCCACCGGGCCTTTCAGTTGATATTATTTGCATCCTCTCTGATTATGAGATGAAATGAGTTTGCTAGGTTTGAGTATCTTAATCAGTCTTAAAATATTTAAATTCATGATTGATTGTCAGTAAAAAGTTTGTATATTTTTTTGCTTAATGCTGTGATCAACAACATTCCACCTGTATGAAATGGTCTGTAAATGATAGCCTGGACCTGACAATCCAGTGATTGACATCACAAGCATCAAACTATTCACTTGTGATTCGATCAGTGATATGCATCAACTGAGTCAACATGATCACCTGATCCTATTGGTCACCGACCCATGAAGATCCCGGGGTAGAATAGGTCTTCAGCAACCCATTCTTGTCATAAAAGGCGCCTATGCTTGTCGTAAAAGGCAACTAACAGGATCGGGTGGTCAGGCCCGCTGACTTGGTTGACACATGTCATCGGTTCCCAATTGCGCAGATCGATGCTCATGCTGTTGATCACTGGATTGTCTGGTCCAGACTCGATTATTTACAGACTGCCGCCATATAGCTGGAGTATTGCTGAGTGCGGCGTAAAACTAAACTCACTCACTCACTTACTCACTATTAGTCACCTCTTTTGACAAGCATAGTCACCTCTTATGATGAGCATAGTCACCTCTTTTGATGAGCATAGTCACCTCTTATGTCAGACATAGCAAGCTTTAATAGGAGTAGTTCTCCTGGTTAAGACTTTGTCATCTTCAATCTTGTTTTGTTACATTCATATTTAAATTAAAGAAAATGTTCAGACTTAGAGAGTAAATACTTAGCAGACCATAGAAACAAGCACTTGACGTAATGTCAAGTGAGTGGAATGTTCCGGGGTAATGAGGTTTTTGTACACTGGCTGACATTTGTACAGACTGGTATTGTGGTGAGCTGGGATGCAAGGCACGACTACTGGTACAGCAATTATGTCAGATATGTGCTAAGCTAGCACTGTTACCAGCAGCTTTGGAAAAATCGAAAACAGACACGCTGAACTTGATAAAATGCAGTCTGAATTGTGCAAAATGTGTCATTGTGAGATATCACTACTTTGTGTCAGAATTACGTTGTTTTTTGTGTTTGTTTGAGGAATATTTGGGTTTTTTTGGTGATGAAATTCTGTATTTATCTGAAGAAAATGGAATGTATATTTCACTCAAGTAAAGAAGCAATACCAGAACTACTTTCAACTGGCTCATTATTATGGTAATAAGGAAAGATGAGTGAGAAAATATCTATTAAGGAATAGGATATTTGAATTTTCTGATAAAACATTGGGTGGCTGGGTAAGTTCATGATCAGAACTTTTCTAACTAAGACCCAGGTTCAATTCCATCTGTGTGTACATGTGAGACCCATTTGTTGTAACCCTCTGTAACATGGAACACCACTAAAAGCTGTATTAAACAATATTCATTCACTCTTGTGCAACATAACATATTTATCTGGTCTTTTGACCTTACAAGGTTGAAATTTTCACTGGTGATGTCGCAAACCACTCAATGAGACAAATATTTGAAAAGAAAACATAAAACTGCACCTAGAAATGATGTTTATGTTCACTGACAGCTGGACTAATATCAACATCCTACAACTATAGCTACATTTCCAATGGATATGAATATGATGACTGTACACGCATCACAAAGTGAATGCCAAATATATTCATTAATTCAGACTTAAAACCTTTTTATTTCAGAATATCATTTGATACACATCGATCATTTTAACCAAATGTTTTATTAGTAAAATCGTTAGTATTTGTTAATAGTAGTTTGATTAGTAAAAGTGCATTATTTCCCCAGCCTTTAGACATGTTAGACAATAATACCATAGTATATGAAACTTTGTGTAATTGAGTGAGTGTAGTTGTCAACCACTTTTAAGCAATATTAACCCGTGAAGATCCGGGGTAGAATAGGTCTTCAGCAGCCCATGCTTGCTACAAAAGGCGACTATGCTTGTCGTAAGAGGCGACTAACGGGATCAGGTGGTCAGGCTCGCTGACTTGGTTGACACATGTCATCGGTTCCCAATTGCGCAGATCGATGCTCATGCTGTTGATCACTGGATTGTCTGACAATGACATGACATGACATGGACATAGCTGAAGAGAGATATAGTATTTAGTATTTTAGATAAGCTTGTATTATTCAAAGACCATGTTCTATGGATATATAGTAACAAATACAAATATTTATGAATACTTTATGTTTACTATAACAAAATTAAAATACATGTAACAAACATGTCATGTAATTGCTTAAGTTGGACCATTAGATGATATTTTCTATAAAGCAGAAAAAGCAATA